TTTTCTCTAAAACCATTTAATCAATTTACATAAAAATTTTATGTGCGTGTTTGTTAAAGTGGGACAAACAGCCTGGCTATTATAATTATCTAATCTTTATGTAAGGTATTGGTTGGAATGGAAAAGTTACTGTCACGAGAGGGATTCGAACCCACGACCTTTGGCTCGATACGCCTTTTCTCTAACCACTTAAGCTATCGGGTCACTCAAGTGGTTAGAGCAGCGGCGTATTGAGCCGAAGGTCGTGGGTTCAAATCCCGCTCGTAACACTAACTTAAACCGTCGTCTACCGGACCACGATATATAATACATTATAATTATCCTAAAGTTTAATGTGAAAAAAATTGGAAATTTGGAAAAAAATTGTCGGTTTTTTTCTTACTGGACATTTTTCTGTTTAATAAAACTATACATTATATTTACAATTCCTTAAACATAACTATTCTAAAACGTCTTCTTGATGATTATAAAAATTCTTTTCAAAATCAGTTCATAATTAAGTGAAAAGTAATTTCTCAGGAGAGGCAAAAAACTAAAAATATCTTTCAACATTGGTCGTCTGTCTTCGATGATTTATGCTGGGGCTCCCCAAACTAAGGGTTCCGCTGACCCTAAGCAGGGAGATCGGCGGCGAACTTCGAGAAAAATTTATAATTACACAAATAAACGTAGAATGAATACATAAAATTAAAAAACATTCATTGTTAATACTGAGGTCCTTACCAGTAACTGCTGTTTCTGCTTCATCCTGGATTTTTCCAATTGGACATAAAAAAAACGTTGTTTCTCCAAAATGTGATTCAAGCTCAACCTTCTCTCACCTATCTGTCTTATCGATAAAATTATTTACTCCAATATGAATCATTGGCTGATGGATCTCTGAGGATGCATGTAGTACCTCCATCACCTACCCAGCCAGGAAAGCGCTGGGTGGGAATTGATGAGGTGGAAGGACCACCTTCCGATGAAGACATTATTGACAAGCCAAATTAAGAACAACCAACGGGTTGAAGTACCTCAGCAGAATCCGGCATACTCAAATTCTACAAATCTCCATATAGGTGCCGGTCAAACAGCCAATGGAAGTGGAATGTCTAAAAAGCTTAAGTACCACGATAGCTACTTAGCTTTGGGGTTTATAGAGGCTGACGAGGTTAAAGCTCAGTACGTGATTTGCGCGAAAGTCCTTCCAAACAGTTCGCAGGTTCCAGTTAAATTGCGGCGTCACTTTGAGGGTACACAACCAGAACTCTTGAATTGAACTGGCTGCTTTCATTAAAACTCATGAAAAAACTGTTAATGAAAACTCATCAAGTGAATATTGAATCCATCTAAAACTCACAAAAACCCACTTGATAAGTGGCACGGGCAGGTAAAGCTCATACCATCTCTGAAACTCTCATAAAACCGTGTGTTGACGATATTGTATCTTGCATGGTTGACGAAAAAGCTGTGAAACTTTGGGATTTATCAAATGGTGTGAAAGAATCGCTGGTTTCTCGCATCCAACACATTTCCTTACAAATCGACGAATCAACCGACGCCGCGGGGTGAGCTATTTTATTGAATTTTGTCCTCTATGAATATTCGGGATGTTTCAAGTGCTTCCTGTCAATGCAACAGGTGACGAAATATTCTGTTTGTTGGACGATTTGTTTGACAACTGACGAAATTCCATAGTCGAATTGCATGGTTGGCCGAACGATTGGAGTAATTATAAAAATAAAAGAGGTTGAGATGGAGAGTTGGCGTCCGAGTGTATCGAAGTCACGAACGCTCAAGTGGTAGAGGAGCGGCGTATTTAGCCGAAGGTCGTGGGTTCGAATCCCGCTCATGACACTGACTTTTTTATCTCAACGAAAACCTTACATAAAAAGAATAATGAATTGAAAGAAGTAACGTGGTCAATTGACCACTAAAACATAAATGGACTAAAATAAAAGGTTAATCAAAGGATTGCAGCAGCAGACATTGTGCTCACCTCAGATATGTTTTAGCTATGAAACAAACCCAGCCACTATTAAGAAATTTTGGAATGAGTCAGTTCAAGTTATTAATTGTATAAAATCGAGGCCATTGAAGTTAAGATATTTCACAATATGTACGACGCTATGGGAAGCCTTCAGCAGTCCCTGATTGTCCATACAGACGTGTGGCTGTATCGTGGTAAAGCACTTTCGCGATTACAGGAATTCTCAAGTCTTATCTCTGTTGACGGACCACAATTTCAAATTGACCAAAGTATAATGTATTTATCGGATATTTTCATGAGAATGAGATGAATCTTTCTTTGCGAGGGAGCGTACTTTCGACGCTAATGACAGGGTTCGCACCTTCAAAAGAAAACTACAGTTTTGCGTTGAATCTGTTGAGAAGGAAGAGGCGGAGTGTTTTCCTCTGTTAAATGATTTTTTAAAAGAAAACAAACTGTTGCTTGCGAACATCACGTTGATTGATTTTCGAAGTTTGGACATGTCCTTTGAACCTGTATTTACATGTCCTTCCCAACAGCCCGAGATACAATGCTGCAAGACCATGAATGGATGGTCAACCCGTTTTCGGTTTCGACAAAGCTAACCAGCCTATCTTCAAGTGAATACGTATGTAGTGATAGACATAACTTCAGGCTCCACCTTGAAATCTACTTTTGAGTCCGATACTTACCCCCTTTCTTTTGGCCCCGCTTGGAAAACAAAACATTTCACCAGCTCGCGGAAAAAGCGAAACGTGTTCTTCCATTTGCCACAACTTACCTTTGCGAATCCGGATTTTCACTATACACCCACCAGAACTTAATACCGAACTGTCTTGATGCTGACATCCGCCTCCAGCTATCAAAAATTAAACCTCAACATATCCCAATTGTACAGGCTAAAACAACCTCATTCATCCCATTAAAGTCATTAATCATAAATGTTTATATTATTAATTTTGAATTGGCTCGAGTATTGCCTACCTATTGATACCGTTCTGTCCAATTTGATTTTTGCGTTCCGGATTTTGTAAATAAAGTTAAGTATGTCATTCTAATATTTGTTTTCAGAGTGATATCCTCCTTCATCAGCTAGTTAGGCATAGACTGGCTAATTTATAAAACTTTCTTTTTTTTGAGGGTCCCGGGGTTTTTTGAAAAGGGCCGCTGGATTCGAACCCGGGACCTTTACCTTACATTGATGAGCGCCGTGTCCACGCCTAAACCGTTGCGTACCACCGACCCCCCTTAATAAAACTTTAATTTACTGCATACTTTAAGTATCTAATTTTAAATACTTGAATGCGAGAAGGGGGAGATCCGCCTTGGATTTTATTCTGTGAAAGGGGCCCGGCTGGCTAAAAAGTTTGGGAAGCCCAGATTTAGGCAATAAGTGACTGGTAGTTATCACGGTAGGACCTCGCAAGAAGCTTTTAGAGCTTATTTTTTGCCGCTGCATGCAATTGTTTCAACGGTGGTAATATTTCCAATTTTAGGATCCTCGATTTCTTCAGACCCGGCCGGGTAAATTCTGACGTGAACCTCTTTAAAAAACGGACTTAGCACGAATAAGCAAGGAAGAAATTGCTGGACAAGAGGCCGCCCAAAAAACCGTGAAAATCCAGCAGCGAAGTCAGAAGGAAGTTGGAGAGAACGAGAAAGTTGAAAATGTTTCAAAGCGCTGGAAATTTATAAAAAATTCATTAGATTTCGTGGTCCGATTGATCAAATAACATCTTTCAATTAATTAACCTTTATGTAAGGTATTAGTTGAGATAAAGATGAATTAATTGAAAGATGTTATAAAAAATTCGGAACGCTTAATGAATATAATAAATTCTTTTTATTTTCTTCAATATCTTTTAGGAATTAGAAAAAGAATTCAAAGAAAAAATATTTTGATAAGAAAAGGAAGTAAGAAAAATCTGAAAAAAGTTACAACCGCTTTTTCCGAATCTATGAAAAGGTGACAAACAATTTTTAAAAAATACTTCCTGTGGTCGGAATATTTTTTGAAAAAGCCATTAAAAATATATTTGAAAAAAAAATTTTGATAAGAAAAGGAAGTAAGAAAAATCTGAAAAAACGTTACATCCGCTTTTTCCGAATCTATGAAAAGGTGACTTAAACAATTTTTAAAAAATACTTCCTGTGGTCGGAACATTTTTTGAAAAAGCCATTAAAAATATATTTGAAAAAAATATTTTGATAAGAAAAGGAAGTAAGAAAAATCTGAAAAAGCGTTACATCCGCTTTTTCCGAATCTATGAAAAGGTGACTTAAACAATTTTTAAAAAATACTTCCTGTGGTCGGAATATTTTTTGAAAAAGCCAATAAAAATATATTTGAAAAAAATATTTGGATAATAAAAGGAAGTAAGAAAAATCTGAAAAAAGTTACATCCGCTTTTTCCGAATCTATGAATAGGTGACAAACAATTTTTAAAAAATATTTCCTGTGGTCGGAATATTTTTTGAAAAAGCCATTAAAAATATATTTGAAAAAAATATTTTGATAAGAAAAGGAAGTAAGAAAAATCTGAAAAAAGTTACATCCGCTTTTTCCGAATCTATGAAAAGGTGACTTAAACAATTTAAAAAAAATACTTCCTGTGGTCGGAATATTATTTGAAAAAGCCATTAGGTGCAAAAAAGCCGGATTATTTTGGTCTTGTTAATTTTTTTAAAAAATAACTAGCGTTACATTGTTTAGCTTGGTCACTTCTGGTGGTTTTATGATTCTCGCTGTTGTCCGAAAGTCGGATTTCTGCTTCTGCTTCTCGGTGGGTCACGTCGTTACAATTCCAAACTGAAGATGTGGAAATTCCGAACTTTTGTGCCAAAGACCAAAACGGCGAGACTAATATATTCAGCTGATGACGGCAACAAAACGTGTCGATTTGCTTGTAAATTAAATAACACTTCCTACGCTATTCCAGATAATATACTGTATGTTTTTTTTAAATTTAAAATCTCTAGGTGTAATATATCGGCAGTATTTACATATATTTAATGCCTTCTGTTTCAGATTGTCAGGATATTCGACTTGCTAAATGGCCTACACATCCCACACACACACCTGTCTTGGTGAACAAGTAAGCTGACGTTTCAATCTATTATTTGTTTGTTTTTTTGTACATGGCATGCAAACATGTCCATTTCAACAAATCATATATACTAACAGTCAAACGTTGTGTAACGAAATTGTTCAAAGGACTTGAAATGTTTATTCTTTGAAGAATGAAGTTCGCCTAAGTTGGCAACCTGGTAGTTTTCATGGTACGAGAAAAAAAGGACCGCGTTACACATGGTAGAAGTCGGCTTATCTCTTTCAATCGGTCTTATTTTTCTTTTTTTAATTTTTTTTCCTCGAGTAGATTTAGTGATTAGACAGATGAGAGTGCGTGATATGACATCGGTTAGCATGTAATATCGACTTCGGTATATATGAAAGGAATTAAAATTGGTTTACTTAAAGACCATCAGTTTCCTGGCAGGCATTTAAAAAAATGAAACTTTACTGAAAGTGTACTGGGATTGTTCTGTCCCGAGTGCTGTTTTTCCCTCTTCTCCTTTGACAATCACACTTTTCGATTAGCCCGTTCCAAAACAGAAATTTCCATCTTGTGGGCAAGAACCCGTCATTACAACGTTGCGTTACCGTGGAAAATTGTAATAAACACCGTGCATAAATGGTTACGTTTGCCTCCCAAGAAGAAGTTGTGCCTTTCCAAGGCTACCGGTGTTAAACGGAACATATCCCTGAGAAGGAAATGAAAAATCCTATACATTTGTAAGTTTTAGTTTCGCCCTGGGACACCTTGTCTAAAATTAGGAGGAAGTGGTTGTGAAAAACCAATAGAGACTCACTAGCTGCACCAAAATCTTGTGGCTCTGTCCCACAACCTGCCTGTTTGATCCAAATGAAACTATTTCACTTATAAGTTATTTAGCCGTTATCATATATGTATCATATATGTCATATATGTATATTGACGTATCTCAGATATACTTTTTTGTGTGTGATGTTAAATTATAGTTGGAATTAGACTTTTTAAGGTAAAACCTAGATCTTTACCATATTAATGACCACCCTTCAAAACGGTAATTTTATATTAAAAAAAAACCCATCGGGGATGAGGCTATTAGAAAGAAAACCGCCAGTTCCTTCGTCCATCTTTGGAAAATTCATCGCCTTCATCAAGGCTTTGAAACTTTAATTTCAAATTACAATCCAGATAATTCGTAGCGGCAAGGGATATCGGTTTAATTACTAATTGTAGACATTTTCGATATATGGAGATTACACAATTCATTAACATTTTGATCATGAATATGTAACCTTACCCGTCTCAAATCGTAACCTAATCTAACCTGTCCTAAAACCTATCCTACTCCATTCGAACGTAAACTAACCCTATATAACCTTATCACCCTTACCTAGTCATGACACTTTCTAACCTAACCTAATCTAAGCAGTCCCTATCCCCAACTATACAACTCTACCTAACCTATCCATAACAATATCTAACGAAGTATAGATTAACCAGTCCCTAGTCTAAACTTTACAACTCTGCCTAACCTAATCTAGCCCTAGCCTATCCATAACAATATCTAACGAATATAGATTAACCAGTCCTTGTACTAAACTTTACAACTTGACCTAACCTAATCTGACCCTAACCTATCCATAACAATATCCAATGAAATATAGAGTAACCAGTCCGTAGCCTAAACTTTACAACTCCGCCTAGCCCAATCTAACCCTAGCCTATCCATAACAATATCTAACGAATATAGATTAACCAGTCCTTGTACTAAACTTTACAACTCCACCTAACCTAATCTGACCCTAACCTATCCATAACAATATCTAATGAAATATAAAGTAACCAGTCCCTAGCCTAAACTTTACAACTCTACCTAACCTATCCATAATAATATCTAACGTAATATAGACAACCCAGTCCCTAACTCAAACTTCTCAACTCTACTTAACCTATTCTAACCAGTAGTGCCCCTATGTAAACAAAGATAAACTTTTCTTATTTAACTAACAAAAATACAAAGTTAATGCGAAAATGAAAAATAAACGAACATTGTAATATGGCTGAACTTTCGGTGGTTATATGTACGTAAACAATTTAAAAAATTTCAATGTAATAGTGCAAGTTTGTATAAGACTTACAGTGGTACTATTGCTTATAGAAGGCTAAACAGAAAAATCTGTTTCAGCAGCAACGTTCTCTTTTGAAATACATATCGAATTTCAATAAAGAATTATATAGTGGGGAGGAGGACCCTTTGAGAGATTACGGTACTTGACTTAGACAAACAAAGCAAAGGAAAGGGTGAGAAATGTTCGAACAAAGTTGTTGAACAATGGTGAGGAAAGAGATTCACTCTGCTTTTCTTAGGATTTGTACCATCCGGTAGTAATTTGACGTTTAATCGGAGTTTTATATTGTAACCTTTAATTGTACTGTACATTTCGTGCGTTCTCTCTTCTCGTAAGTGTTTTCGGTTGTCTAAACACAAAAGCTGTGCTACAGGGCTATGCATTTCATTTTTTACACTGATTTTCCGGTTCCACAAACTGGAGTATTTTTTCCGGACCAGTGTTCACTTTGTTCATGCCCATTTTCAATTTCCAACTATGATTTTTTTTTATCACAAAACAATAAAAGTTGTTAAATCGTCGTACCTGCTGGTGCTGTGTGAGCATTTGATATGGCCACGTCAAAATGGACCTGACATCCGCGATTACTGACAAGGGGAGGCTACGGAACTGGGATCGCATGGTAGTTGCCATAAACAGTTTTGAAATAGTGACCACATGACGTAGTAGAACTAGTTAAAATATTTTTTAAACAGAACACTAAGTTTAGATTCGTTTTCTGCACTTTTTTTTTATTAACACGTTCCCTTTACATAGAATACATGTTTTTCTTCTAGTGGTGAATTGTGATAAATAGTGTAATATATTGATAACTTTGAGAAAACAACAATGAAATCAAAACTGATGATAAAATTAAGTACACCATAACAAATCAATAAATTATTGTAAAATGATACGACAACAAGTTAATAAATCATTTCAGTCACTTTTAGTGTTATATGTATGTAATAATAACAGGGGATCAATCAGGAATTTCTGTTTTGATTTGGGAAACAAATTTTAAGAAGCTCTCAAACAAGTCCTTCGTCACCAATCCCGCTGGAAGTGCCGATAAAAAAGTCAGTGTCACGAGCGGGATTCGAACCCACGATCTTCGGCTAGATGGGAAGTTAGTGTCCGAGTGGATCGAGGTCACGATAGCTCAAGTGGTAGAGCAGCGGCGTATCTCGCCGAAGGTCGTGGGTTCGACTCCCGCTCGTGACACTGCCTTTTTTACCTCAACTAAAAACCTTAATTAATTGAAAGATATCAATTGGTCAAGCGGACCACAAAAACTAGTTAATGATGATTACATTGAGACGACTGCACCGATCTTAAGAAACATTAGAAGGCCTTAGAACCCTATAAACTTTACGAAATGCCAAAAACATGGCGCCCGTAAAAAAATTATAATCGGAGATAAAAAATAAGAAATTTGTGGTAGTGTGTGAAGATTTCATACTTATTTTTCTCGCTTATAATGTCATAAACTGTGAACTTTGATGACATAGNGGGTTCTAAGGCCTTCTAATGTTTCTTAAGATCGGTGGAGTAGTTCTTAAATTGAGAAAATTAGGTTTTACTAGTAAGTTTCTTCGTAACCTTTGCTCTCTTTTTTTTCCGGTTATATCTTCTGGTGTACGGGGTCAAACAGGCATCTCGGAGTTTTTAGGGTTCAATCTGGATTTACAGGGTGTGGTGGATCACGGATTTGTACTAAATTTTTTTTTGGTGATTCTACACTCCAAAATGTCGGACACGTATATGCCAATTTTTTTTTTTTTGAAAGTTGAAATTTTCCGTTTTTTAATATTTGTTTTTGCCTTTCCACTTGCTCAATTAACTATGTGAATATATCGTTTTACAGCATTTTTTATTTAGATCATAATGAAAATATTAAAAACTAATATAAAAATATGCGTATCTAATCCGCACATACTGCAAAAATGGCATAACTTAACTAGTTGTTATTCGAAATATATTTGGTATTTGTTCAAATCCTGACTGAAACCACCTGTCGTTGAGCAATCGAGTGGCGTCCACGTCCAAGGATTAAACTGAAAATAGCGAAAGGTACCGTCTGATCGGAGATAGCCGTTTAAGTGTTTAAGTGCTGACTACAAAAAAAAAAGAAAAAAAAAAAAGAAGAAAAAAAACGCAGTTTGGTCCAGACGCGGCTGAACGGCAATTTAAGTACACAAAATCAAAAGAGGCCACCCCGGCTTTCTACCCGACCCCCCTCCTGCATTTCCCCAAAAAAAGGAAAAAAGACACGTGTTGTCCATATTGCTACCCTGTCAAACCTTTCACACTACATCCCTCTGACAAAAAAACAAAAACAAAACATGTATAATTAGAAAAAAATATGACAAAGACGTGTTAGTTAATTAAGTAACTTTCTACCCGACCCCCACCTGCATTTCCCCCAACAAAGAAAAAAAGGCTTGTGTTGTCCATATTGCGACCCTATCAAACATATACAATTAGAAAAAAAATATGACAAAAGATATGTTACTTAATTAATTAGTTTTTCATGATAATATGTGATTTATATGTGTTGTTCAAATCGCTAAGCACCAGATGGTCATTCGGTAGATTTGCTCAGTGTTAGCCGGTATTCCATAGAGTAAGTTTGTGAGAGTGTCTTATAAATATTGTATTTTTTCCGTATCAAAGTTTTCCCAATATGTTTGTGGGGTTGTTTTCAGAAAATACAATTGTTTGTTTGTGTTTTTATTTAGACCTCGAGGGGCGACGGGGATGCTATTTCACTATCAGCCCCTCCCCATTCACTCTAATAAGTACACTCACTCAAACAAAACACAGAACGTATGTATTTATTTTTGTACAAATTGTTTCATTCTTATTCCTCCAATATTGTCGACAATTGTTAAATATTAAATACTATTACTCTCTATCATTTAAAAGATAAGTAAG